GGAATTTCTTTAAATGTAGATTCCTAAATTTCCTTTAGAAAACTTAATCAAATAGTGCTTCCTAGCACCCAACATCCCAATCATGGTAAAGCCCAATATGAAATGTTTGAATGTTTGCTATTTTTATAGATAAAATTATGTTTTTTAGTTTTGACTTGGCTATCTTTGATTATTATTGTATGGAAATTTCCATGTTTATTGACATTATTTTTTCTGTTTGAGTGATAGAAATGAAAACATTGTGATTTCAAATCCTAAGGATGGTATAAATTAAGCAGTTCTGCACTGACTTTCAATTCTTTATTAATTTTCCTGATTTGAAACTGTTTTTATTAATGTACATGGGTCCAGTGATCCTCTCATGAATGCCTTTTCCATTATAAATAAAGTAGACATTTCCTTCCGCCTTCAAGTTTTTAAAATTTGTATTTTTGCTTTAAAAATGAAACTACAGGGCAAGTTTCATTTCTCATTTACTCATTCTCTATGTGAGTTGTCAGTTTTGTTCTTGCTCTTAACTGAGGTTAAGTGAGAGGGCATCTTATCAAATCACTGTGTCTGGGCAAGGTTCTGGTGGGCTGATCCACTTTGCTTCGCACACCATTTTAGTTTGTCATTTGCAAATAAATGTAAACCAGTTCAAGTTGTGCCATTGTGCTTACAATAATCTGAAGCCCGAGAATCTTTAAGGGCAATGAGAAGATTTTCATTTGGGGATACCGGGAAGGACACCTCCTTACAGAGGTATAGGAGCATTTAGAAACTAATCATGCTGGAATGTCAGTTACACAAAATGACTTGGCTGGGGATGAAATGTGGGCTTTTCCTGAAATATTGGAAAAGACCAAAGAAGTTTTTGACTTGCACTTTTCTTTCTATTAGTATATGTTTGTAGTGCATCATGGATATATTCCCTGTGGGAGGCTGGTACATGTACATAACAGATCTTGATTCCTTTGGCTTCCTTTCCCTCCACCTCCCTCCATCTCTTGGTCTTTTTTATAGATCTGCTTTTACCTGAATGTCAATACTTCATTCTTTGTTTAAAAAAGTCACTTGGAGGATTGTACTACTGTGAAAAAATAAGTTCTACTTCTATCTCTTTAGACCTTAGAGTCTAGTACAGTACCAGACAGATGATGGATAAATAATAGATAAAACTATTGTGGAGCAGGCTATTTGCTTAACTTCAATTTATGTGCATTTTTGTAGATGTTGATTATTTTATATGTGACATTTTATTTTGTTTTCTATTTACTCTCTTTATCTTTGGTTTATATTTTCTTTTCTTATATTCTGTATAAGCCAGAGGAATACAGAATAAGCATACTAGATTGAAATACTTTAGTGTGAATATTAGTTAACAAAAGCCACTAATACTGTTCTTTTTCTACTGCATGTTAATATGCAAATTTTAATCAAAATAGCTTATTCTTGGAATTGTTATAAACAAAGAACATTGACATAAGAAAAGAACTTCAATAATAAAATAATAACAGATATACACAGGTAAAAAATCCATTCTGCATCAACTTTTGTGGAAGCTGAGAAGGAGCATGTAGCAGCCAGTAGCTATAAATATTTTGGTAGAATTATCACCTTAGTGGTTTTTTCCCTCCTAATAATACACTGTTTTATAAAGAGACTGGAGTTATCAGCTTCCTTGCAAGCTACAGCAGTTGGCTGGGCTTAGAAGTTAATTTTGTAATCTTTCTTAGTATTGCTTTATTTTTGTGAATGAGCTCTGGCGGGAAGTAGAGGTGCCCTCTGTTGTAGGGCAGTCATGCTCCACGACTCATTTCTCACTTCTGAGCTGGCTAAAGAGAAGAGAGTGATTTGAGGAGTTAAGGTGAATCATAGAGGAAGAGTTCTTCCACTTAATTTACCATCACATAGTACATTTACGTACCTATTTAAAAATTAACCCGTGACCCCTAGAAATAGATCATCCTGTCATGCACATAGCTTCCCTTTAAAACCATTATTATAACTTCTGCTCACCACAGAAGGCATTTGGACTTGCTAGTGTGGACAGGTAAAGTGAGTCCTGAGGAAAATCAGGTTAGTACTTTCAATATGGCCCAAGGGGAATAAATATGTGTCTGTGACTACATGCATGAACCTTGACAATATTTATTTTAAAATTAATCACAAATTTTCAGAAGGCATTTTATGTAGGGGTCACTGGAGAGTTTTTTCTGGAGTAAATCCAAGAAAAACTACTGGACAAATATTCTGAAGATTAGAATCCTTTTCTATTTGGCATTAAAGTCTTATAGATTCAGACTGCCTGAGCAAATGATAAATAAGTTACACTGTAGTGATTTTCTTATCCATTTATTCTGGATTATTAAATTTTAATTTGTTTTTTTAACTTTGGATATAACCCGTAGAGCATGATTATATAAGTATTACATGTTTATGTTTCTACGTCTATCTACATGTGTACACATTGAATTTGTTCATAGTAATATGTTGAAATATGGTTAAAATATGCACAGTATACATGACTACAAATTTTGCAACAAATGTTCAATGTTACTATAAATTACATTTCCTAACATAGGAATTTCTACATGATACAGTAACATCAACTTACTTGAGTTTTGAACTTTTTGTATTACTTATATTATCTATAAAATTGTAGCTATTTTTCCTCCTGTAATGGGCACATTATAAATATGAAATATACCAAGATTTTCTCTGTTTATTATATCTAGTGAACTATTTTTTCATATTAATTTTATTGAGAAATAGCATTGAGACAGTTTTATTTAGTGAACTACTGAAAAGTCCAATATTATAATTTCAATTTGGTGTGATCTTGAATATTGCTGGCAAAATCTAAAGGCATAAAATTGAAGTAAGATAGATTCTCAAGATGGGCTATATGAGGCTGATTCAGTAATCACTTGGTATTCCAGGTTGTGAACTTTTAAGCAGTACTGAGAAATGAAATACAGAAATCCAATCACATTATAACACAAATTTTTATTCAATACTTTATTTTTTTATGTTTTATTTTTTATTTTTTGTGGTACCGGGGACTGAACTCAGGACCCTGCCTTTACCAGGCAATACTTTAAAAAATCTATTTTTCTAAGCCTTATAACGTGCTCAATAATTCCATAGACATAGATAAGACCAGTTACGTTTAACTGTGAAGGAGTAAAGCAACTTTCTTAATGCTTTAACGTTAAAGGTGAAGCTAAAATCAAAAGCTAGGATTTCTCATTTTTAATGCACACCTTAGCTGATTATTTTTTTTAAAAGTAATATTTCTCAAAGGCACTAACTTTCAGGATTAGTAATAGTGATTTTGCTTATCTGTTTTTTTAAAATGTGTGTCTTTTGCCTTCTCTGTTTTGTTTTGATTTAACCTTGGAGATCTACTTAATTATTTGCAACTTTGACTCAGTTTTCCTGAAGCTTTGTTATAACTTACATAGTTGTTTTTTGCCATAATCATAACTTATTAAAAGGCTGCTAGAATATTGATGTTAATAATATTGTATTAGAAGTATATATATATATATATAGCTATAGTATTTATATAAGGAAAACATTTAATAAAAGTTGAAGAAAAATTAACAGGTGAACTAATTTATAAAACCAAGAATGGTTTCAGCTTCTCAGTGTTGCAATATAAGATGTCCAACAGTCAACATTTCTCTTGATTTGAGAGATCCACAGGTTGAAATTAAGTCATTTAGTCCCTAAACTTTCTGATTTTTTTCTTATTTCCAAATCTAATATTTAGAAGCAAAGTTATTCATTTGGGTCAACAGTGGAGATGAAAGCAGTATACTTTTTCTTGAATCAAAATAGTTTACAATAGTATGTTTGCTGCTACAAAGTCTTTTGTGGGTGCCACTAATTACATGTCTTTCACATCACAGTATTTAAAAAATATAACTACAAATTGAATATAGGTATAAATTGACTCAATAAGTATTTTATTAGATTAGGTAATTTAAGATGGTATAGGTGTTTAGAAAAATATCTATAGAAAACTAGTAATATTTTTGTTAAAGACTTTTCACTTTGGCTGAACATGGTGCATCTTGTCTCCTTGTATTACTAATTCTCGACTTGAAATTATACAAGCAAATGATGCTATGTGGAATCATAACAAAAACATATTAATTAAAAAAACAAATGATTATCTGCAGGAGGGTTGACTCAAGCATTTGTCAAGCTACAATTATATTAGTAGCAACCTTTTAATTTGATAGTCAGATAATGTGGTAATTAAAAATATATAATTAGTCAAAGTAAAATCTTAAATTATGAAGGAAATGAAAACAAAGGACATAGCAAAATCCTATGAAAAGCGGTTATTATAGGATCATAATGGAATGTAACATCTCTACAAATATATCTTATAAGCAAATAAAGGTCAAACCTTACTATATGCTTACTTGTTAAAATACTATAGAAGACCAGATAATAAAGTAGGTCCCAAATCACAAACACAATACAAAATGACCTTTCCTTCATGGACCTTTCTTTCAGTCCAAACTTGTTGTGATGGGCATCTGATTATAGACAGTCCTGGAAGGTGTCCAAAGCTTTAAAGATTCAGTCTAAAATTGAGACCTACGTTTCCACCGCATTTCACCAGATCAAAGTGATTAAAAGTAATGCAATTTAGAGGCAAATGACAAAAGTAATGTGGATGAAGTTATCATCATTCTTGAGAGGAAGGGCATGAAGGTTCATTGATGGCATGAAGCAAGCAACTAATCCAAACAGGAGCCTTTATCTAAGATGTGAAAGACAGAATAGAACTTGTATTTAGCTCGGTTGACTTGGTTGTCAAGGGTCAAATAAGGCCACTCAGCTGAAAATACACTTGGCCTACTTATACCACAACACCAGGACTTTTCAGTGCTCCTTTTAAAAATTAACTCTTGGAATTATGAAGCAATGTGAATCTCACTAATACTTTTCTTCTTTCTTTGTTGCTGACAAATATTAATGCTCTAAGCGTGCCAACAAAGCTTGAAATGTCATAGCTCCTCTTACAGTGACACAGACCTCTTTCTTCTTCTTATAAAATCCTCTTCAGGGATGAAGTTGGAAAGAGCCCTGGGGAGGTGACTGTCTGATGACTCAGTGTTGCTCCCAAAGGCAGAGCTCTTCAAGTAAGGGCACAAGCAGTGGACAATGGCCCGACGGATGTAGCTGTCAAAGATATAGTAAATCAGGGGATTCACACAGCTGTTGGCAAATGCCAGGGGTCCACTCACCTTCATCCCAAGCTGAAGAGCAGCTGATGAAAAGTGGAGTCCATTTTGCAATCCAGAAACAATGGCTAGGAGCTTGAAAGTATTAAAGGGCAGCCAGGAGAAGACAAAGGCTGCCACAACAATAAAGATGATCTTTATGGATTTCCTCAGCTTTTTGTTGTGCTTTCCCGTTTGCTGGTAGTGAGTACACAGCTTCCTTGTGATGCAACAGTAGCAGGTCACAATACTCAGCAAGGGGACCATAAAGGTGAAAATTAAGGTGACCAGAGCCCATATCAGTTTCACTGAAGTGGCTCTCTTCTCTGCACAATAGGGCTTATCCTCAATCAGCGTGAGCTCCCTGGACAGAAGAGTAGGCAACCCTAGAAGGCCGGAGATGAACCAGATGCTGGCACAGACTCCATATGCACAGTCTCTCCTTCTGAGTTTCCTCGATATGGCTGGATACATGATGGCCAGGAAGCGGTCAACACTCATGCAAGTGAGCAAGAAGATGCTGCAGTGCATGTTGACCGAGATCAGGTAAGAGCTGCTTTTGCACAGAAAAGAGCCTGTTCTCCACAGTCCTAGAGATGCTTCTTTATCCACCCAGAGAGGCAATGTGACCAGAAAAATGAAGTCAGAGACAGCCAGGTTGATGATAAAGATGTCAATTAGTCTTCGGCTGCCACGTTTGAAATGCAGTGCACCAACGAGGATGAGGTTGCCCAGCACTCCAGTGAGGAACACAACTGTGTAAAAGACAGAAAGGAACACAGAAGTGTAAGGAACTTGCGAGCGGGTCTCCTTGGTATGAGAGTTTGGGCTGGTGGCATAATAATAATCCAAATAAACTGAAGTTGCTTCAGGGTCCATCACCGAAGATCAAGATGTTAAATCTGGTAAGTTTCCTGTGACGTACTGGCATGAATTTTAGAAATCTCAAGGGATCTTCTCTTATATAGATTCTCTCTCTCTCTCTCTCTCTCTCTCTCTCTCTCTCTCTCTCTCCCCCTTCCTTCCTTCCTTTAAAGATCTTGGACAAGCATGAAAACAGATTAAAAAGTGCAGTTTCTACCAACCTTCAGAAAGAGCCCACAAGCAGCACCACCTTTGATCAGTGCTGGGTGGTTGTGGTTAGGGTTTTCTTTATTTGCACTTACTCATGAAACCGAGTTACTATCTTGACATTTTTATTCAAGATATTTGAACTGTTTTTCTTAAATCCAAAAACTGAAAAAGAGAAATGAATTAACTTTTTATTCTAACTTCCTTTAAAGCTCTTTGATTTTCTGTTTCTGATTTCTTAATTTGTCTTGTTTCATCTTTAAGAACTGTTGTACTTTTGAATTATAAGATGATTACAAAGATACTCTTATTTATACTACTGATCATATATAAAGAAAATTGACATTTCATTGCATAAAAAGTGAATTGAAAGCTTTTCAACCTGTAGTAAACATCAAAATTGCAATTAGACCATGACGTTCTATTTATTTACCACTTTCATAAACAATCAACCTTGTACCTTTCAATAATTTTGAACTCCTCTAAAGGAGCTAAGTCATTTCTTTCATGTGCTTTTACTATTTCAAATTTTCTATTACATTTTAGCACAGTTCATGTACACAGTTTGTGCCCTGGAAATATTAGTTTATTAAAATTAATTCAGAGCATTCTTGTTTTTGAGATCCTGTATAGTTAGTACAGATAAACTCAAGGGATTTTCTCTTAAATAGATTCTCTCTCTCTTCTCTCATAAGATTCCAATAGAGTCTATGGTAGGTATTGATGTTATTTATAAAGTTTACTAACATTTAAAAAGCACAGGATGTCTTTATTCTTTTATTTACTATTTCAATTTACCTATTGACATTCCCCTTTGTAAGAATTATGATTCTTGATTGGAGGATCTTTCTCTATTAACCCTCATGTTCCCTTTTATCAAATTCCAGATACTGAACCTACTTTTCTTTAACTTGCATCTATTTATCAGTTGTTTGATAGTCTAAGCCATGTGTTTTTGTTTTTTTCATTAAGGACCTCTACAGATCAGCAAACTGCACTTTGGCATTGTTGACAAGGCAATAGATGTAATTGCTCATAATAAGTGGTATCATAGTAGAGATATTTTGAGACACAGCTTAAACAAAGGATTCTATCGTGGGTTGTTCATATATGTTTCCTTTTATATTGTGAAGGCTGCATAAAATATAATGAATTTGAACTTTAACTATTTTTCACAAGGATGATTTTAATAGTGACTTATATTAAGATCAATATCTGCTAAATTATAAAAGTTGCTTTAAAATATATTGACTCGAGGGGCCTGGGGAGATGGCTCAGTGGAATAAGGGCTTCCCTGGCAAGCACAAGGGCCTGAGTTCAATCCCTGGTTCTGCCAATCCCCGGTTCCGCCAAAAAAAAAAAAAAAAAAAAGAAAAAAAATATATTGATTTGATTATATTCCTTTCCTTTATGTTTTGACATTTTTCAAATACTACAGGTTGAAATAATTCAAAACATGATCATTACAGCATGTGGCAAATAACTTCACATCTGCCTAACATTGTTCTCATTCAGATTTCAAACTAATGCTCAATGTATCAATATTTATTGATGAAAATACTACATTTACATATGAAATTTAACTATTGACTTCAATCATTTACGGCCAAATGACTCAGGGCTGTTTTGTACTCTTGCGTCCTTCTCCTCTTCCCTCCATGTCATTTAATATCCAATACTCCAGTCTCCAGTTGACATTGCCATTAAAAGAAGAACACATGCCTGTTGGTAATATTATTGTTAAACATGTAAAATCCATTCTGCATAATTTTTATTTCTCCAGTGATTCATATATTGAAAAGAGTGATCTTGTCTGTTGCATTTTTTCCCCTTCCTTCCTGATATGGTTAATGTCACGGGCCTCTGACATGGGACAGCACTAAGAAGTCACTTGGGAGTTGATATACAAGTTTGAGTTGATTTCTTCTTTGTCCCTAGCTGCTCTATGCTATTCCTTAATTTCTTGGGGGGGCATATCTTCACTAAATATAGACTACAGATCAGAGAAACTAATTAAGAGCTTTGATAATTCTGAGGCAGAAATATTTCCCACTGGGTAAGCCTTAATTACTTAATAGAATAATTCATTTTATCAAACAGCTTAAAGTAGGCAATATTTACTTGGAAAAAAAATAGAGTAAAGGAATATTTAACTGCTATATTTATATGTTTATGTGGCAAAAGTAATAATCATAAATAACTTTATTTGTAATGTACTTTATGCTAGAATTACAATTAGAAGTTCTTTTGTCATTTGAGAAAATAAAATTGATTCTGATCTGAGAAAATTAGGATTCTGATTAAATATGTCTAAAGAATTCAACACAAAACTATAAATTCAACATACTGATATTTTGGAGGAAAACATTCGACTGTCTTCATTGTGTTAGGCCTTAAATTTTTCAAGTTTCTAAAGATGCTGGGTTGGTGCTCAGTTATCCCTAGTAAATCCGACTCTCAGTGAATTACTGAAGCAATTATAGACAAAGTAGTTTTCTTTCACATATGGTCACTCTGAGGTATAATATTTACTGGTAAAATTCTGCAATATGACACTATATACATCATGGATAATCACACTGGGAGACTCAGAGTAGGAGACAAATTAACCACATTAAGCCAAAAAGGAAAAATAACATGGTTCTGAACTTTGAAAAACTCAGCATACAATGCTAGCAGAACAGCAAACCCACGACTAATTCTGAGTAGGTAAAATATACAAAGGAGGGGAGGTCAAAGTTCTAAGTAAGCTAAGTACAATGGCTAATTTTAGAACTTCGCATGCCCTTTAAAATATACATACACAGATACTAACAATGAAATAATTACCTACATATTGATCAAAACTCAAAACCAACACTGAGTTCCATGACCATTTGAAAAAGCAGTATAAACAGGTGCTGACAAAACAGAAAAAGAATACAAATATTAGTAACTGAATTGTAGCATATGATCACCTCTTCAGAATTATTTTCCTGAAAAAAATATTTTCTTTACTAACCTCTGACAGAAGTAATTGAGTCTGTGTTTGAACTTTTGAAATTCTGCTTTAAAAATGGTTATTATCTCATTTCACATGCTTAGTTGTCTTGGTATCTGACCTCTTGAACTGATCATGAACTACTTACAGGCAAGTCTCTGACTTTCAAAACAATTGCTTTGAACTTGTAGATGCCAGGCAACATTATTCACATTCTAGGTGCTGGAAAACCTACTACATAGGTTCCCAGACCCTGTCCTTGATCTATTAAAATAGTCACTGGGGAAAGATGCAGTCTAAAACCTTATATTTAGTAATCTTTTAATGTGAGATGCTGTTTAGGATCATAGTTTGTATTTACATAAATTGACTAATGTGCTATGTTTTGCTATGACTTTGGCTATTCTTTAAGTTTAAAAGTTACATCAAAACTTCAGACATGTGAGTCTTGACTGGGATCTCACACTTTAAAAATTAAATAGATTTCTGTCCCCTTTCTATTTGTTCTATGTTACAATCCTATAATATGTTTAGAACTTGATCAGATGTTGACAATAAAGAGAGCATAAGTTTTGCTCCACTGAGACATTTGCTCAAGCACTCAGATTTACTAGTGATGTTTTCCTCTATGGCATGGCTGTAGCTGTGTCTTATAGTCCCTGTTTCACACATGGAATAGAGTCAGTGTATTGGGTGTAACCCTTAGAATTATATTACTTTGGCTTCTTCTCTGTCACTAATGCTGAACTTTACAACAGGGAGATAATAGATCCTCAGATAATATGCACACATAAAGCCCTGAATATAAAGCTTTTTGTTTATGTATGTTCTGCTGATATGTCCAGAATAAATGACAAAGAGTATGAAGCAAATTATTTCTCATTGATCTAATCAGGGAGACAGCATGATTTATTCATTAGCTACACCTTCTTCTCCATGTTTTGAGCGTTAGAAAGATATGTAACCATTTAAATGGTTCAATTTAAGAAAATTTTTTATATCCCCAAAGATTTAATTATTATTATTTTTATCCCTTCAGCTATTTGGAGAACTTAGTACTACAAAATAATATCATATCATGCCAAATAAGTGGCATGATTTCATTGTTATCAGTATGTGCTCTCTTCCTCCACTTACTTTATTGGATTCTCTCTCTTGTTAACATGTTTATTTAGATATCAATGATATTATTATTATTCCAGAAACTTATATTTTAAGGTTCTTCATAAAAGTAGAACTAGTCTGGATGCATACTATATATAACAAAAATTGTTTGTGAATATTGGTGTTTTCAGCAAGCTGGCACGGTGTCTGTCACGTGACTGATGGCCAATAAATGTCTGACAACTTGGACTGGATCATGCTTGAATTCGGAGAATGACCAATACATTCAAACTTTTCACAAACTTCTTGAACAGCTTCCTTTTCTATCCAATCCTGGGATCTTTATCATATCCTAAACTCATATGAAGAATTTTCTAATTTAGTATAGCGTGTCTTTTAGTTCCTTTTAGTAATGCCTTTACTTAGCATGTTTTGTTAATCAGAAACAATTCACAACCCAATAAATATAAAACTACACCTGTCATGGCCTCATAATAAGTTTGAAAGGTGTGTCTCTGAGGAATTTAGACTCACTTAGGTTATAAATAATGAAATTAACTGATTTAATCAGTTAATTAACATTAGTTTCTTATCTGCAATAAAGGTTACCCTTTGAAAAGATTTTGTTTGGGTCCCAACATTTTCACTTGTAACTGTATATAATAAATGACAATAAAAATCAAGAAAATCTTTTCATAATTTCTATCTTCCTTGTGATTGTTATTTATTGTTGAAACAGCAAAGGGTATGTTGGTGTTTATTTTCTAATCAGAAAATAGTTTTTCTGCTTTTCCTTTGTTCATTTGCATTTTCCACTATCTCTGTTTCATATAATTACCTAGGCTGTAGATGTTGTATACACAGATTCCCTCATGAAACAATGGTGCTGTGAATTGACTACAGTCACATTTTGTAGTTATGTTGGTCTTACTTAATTTTGAATCATAAAATTTTAGACCTTCAAGTGATACTAGTGATTACATGTACAACCGTTTTCCTAATGAGGTCACTGGGGCTCAGAAAGAAGTCATTTGCCAAAGACCCTCAGTCATGATTTTTAAAATTGATAGCAATTTGAATATAAATTTGTCATTCACATAGTCATTCCATGTTTCTCAGGAACATAAATATTCAAACAAGTATAGTTTGTTAAACTGTGAGGCCCTTGACAAGAATTGCTAAGTGAAAAAAATCATTTGAGTTAGCTTTTTAATTTTTTTTTTCCTTGACTAAATTTGCTATTGCTCTGTGGTGATTAAGTACAAGGAAAATTGAGGATGGATAGAGGATAAATTTGGCTGAAATGTCGAACTTTTATGTATTTCTAGTTTCCTCCTATCTGAACTCCAAGTCCATAAGGAAAACAACTGGGACAAAATATACAAGAAAACCATAATGTAGGAATATCTTACCATGATTTTTCCTAATAATGAACAATTAAAATAAAAACTAAGTATTTTAATAATGTTAGGGAATTTGGTATTAGAAATTCTCACATGAAAGGTTGTTTCATAAGCACAAAAGAAAAACAAGTTACAATACCTGACTAATTTTCAGTTATTAGATTTAACATCTAATGTAATTATAGCACCTTCCAGCTGAAACTAAAAACATCTTGAATAAATTAAGCTAGTAGCCTAGTTCAGCTTTTGCATTTATTTATTTAGTATTCAGTATAGGGTCTACAGGGTCTCACTACATAGATTGGACTTATAGTGATTCTCCTGTTTTCAGCTTCACAAGTGGCGCGACGCCCAAACTCAATTGCCTGCGCAGTATGTCCTGGGGGGCGGGGCCTGCACAGCGTTCTGCGGTTTCAGCTCTGGTCCCTATGCTCTCTGTCTAAGCAGGTGCTTTAATCTGCTGAGCTATCTGGCCAGACCTCGCTTTTGCTTTTAAACCTAAATTCCATAATCTGTACTTGGATGCCCTAAGCCATCTCTGACTTTTGTGACAGCAACTACTCTTTCTTGAATAGTAAAGTAGGAAACAGAAGCAGAAATTTAACTTCATTAATTTATTAAGGATTTAGTCTACATAAGTTAGTAGAAGTAGAAATTATAAAATAGCAAAGATGTAAAGATAAGCCAGAAATATGGTTGGATGGTTGCTGGAACTGGATGTGAAGAGGCAGTTCAGGTGTCCTGTGCTTAGATGGTCAAGATGTTCAGAACCTCAAACATACAGACACTTCACATCAGAACTGGGCTGGTGATTCAGTTTTGCTCTGCGTATTTTGTAGGCAGAGACTTGAGGTGTAGAAGCATCATTGTCCTTTACAGAAACATCTACTTTCTGGACTTATGATGACTTAGGTATGATATGAGCCAAGGCCTTGGAATTTCCTGAGCAGGGCCAAGCAAGAAGAGCAGCCCTGGCCAGTCCTTCTTACTCACTCGGCAGTTAGACCAGAGATTCATTATCCAGTGAACAAGGATATCTGTCATCAAAATGGCTTATGTCCCACATCCAGGGGCAATCCAGAAGTTTTCAAGAACTGTTCACATTGACCTTACTAAAACATTATTGATATTCAAGAAATATTTCCAAATAATAATTGAATGATTCTTAACTAATCCTCAGATCCTATACTAGGAATTTTTTAAATATATTTTCTCATTTGATCTTCACAATGATAATGCGAAATTACTGCTGTTATCAACAATCTGTATTTTGCTGGGCCTGGTGGCATATTCCTATGGTCGTAGCTTTGCAGGAGCCTTGGGGAAGAACTGTTTGAGCCCAGCAATGGCCTAGAAAACACAATCAGAACCTTTAAAAAAAATCCACATATTGTAATGTTTAAAGGACAATTAAGACTTAAAACATAGTGAAGTAAATTTTCCAAAGTCATAAAACTAAATTACTCCACCATTCACATTTGCTAAGTGAAGTATGAGGTTATCTCTTCCTATTTCCTACATTCCTGTTTAGCTCAGTTTATTGACCATGTGACCTCAGTGATGTGGTAGACCCAAAAGTAGGGGATTTCCTATGAGGACCAATGGATGTAACAATTTCCTGGTGCATAAATCTGTCCATAAATCCGTCCTTCTTGTATATTAAATATTTGCACTTTTCCTAGCTGATGCCTGTGACAAAATTCTCATTGATTAGATATTATATGTGAAAATAGTCACATTTGAATAAATATGGTATATTATCTTATTTTTATTCATATCCTAAATGTGAATAGCAGTTCACCAACGCAGGTGAACTGTAACTATAGATAAATAAGCATTATGCATTCAGTCTATGGGGGTGGTAGAAATCTGACCTGTTTAGGGTTCCTACCTTTCTCCTGTGCAGTGGCTAAATTTAAAGGCACGAGAGGTAGGGAGGTACTTCTGGAACCACCCTGGTCCTTGAGTTCACTGTCTTTGCAGGCATCTGTTAAGAAGCCTATGCTTTGCATGTCTCAGGTTACATTCATGGCTCTACACAAGTTACTGCTTAGGTGTCCCTAATGCTCTATGTGTCTCCTCCTATGATGCCCTGTGTCACCACCAGATACCACCAAGAAGTCCATCACCATATGCAGCCCTTTGATCTTAGACCAGAATTTTAAGCCCAAGAAAACTTTTAAAAATAATTTAAAGCAAAACCAAAAGCTGTCTCTGCTTCCTGTCCACAAATTGCAGCCATTCTGTTGCTTCTTTTCCGTACATCATCAGCAATGTTCCATTCTGTCCAAGACCTTGTTTGCTGGAACTGACATCCTCTATACTTGTCTTTTTCACTTTATATTCACAATTTTTATTTAGCTTTGACATATCTCTATTATCTCTATTTAATATTTTTAAAATCAACTAAAACATATTTTAAAAGTCAACTTTACTATAATAGAACACTAGTATTACTTACCATCTAGTTGCAATGAAATTTTATGAAACTCAAATGTTACATTCCAGAAAGACACTGCTAGGTCACAGCCTTCTTAGTCTAAATTTAAGTAAGCAAACCAGACTATCTGCTCTATTGGGAGGAAGTTTGTGAGACAGGAGGAAAAGGGTACCTAGCATGTCAAAACAATCGCACTGCTCTTCATGTATACGGTACTTACGTAGAGGCAAGATGGTGCGATATGGAAGGCACAGGACTAAAAGTCAGACTGTTATAAAGACTAAAATCATTGGCTAGTGGGGACAGATGATGGAACGCCTTGTATCGTGTATTTCTTCTTCCTTCGTTCCAGAGCTGTAAGATAGCTTCAGCCCCTACCTCTGCCTTGCCCGCCTCTCTTGCCTTTTGGATCGAACTACAACCCCCACAATGCCTCGCGCGGCGCCTCGCGCGGCGCCTGGCAAGTTGGGCTCCACCTCCCGCAGTTTTCTTTGCGTCCGGCCTACAACTCCCACAATCCCTTTCGGCCTCGGGCGGCCGCCCTGCCTGCGGTGGGGGCGGGGGCGGAGGCGCGGGAGTTGTGGAGGGGGCGGGCTCTGCGGGGAAGTGCGTCAGAAGAGGCGCGAGGAGAGTAGGGTGCTGTGGTCCGAGCTCGAAGGTGAAGCCGCTGGAGCCAGATGATGGGCGGTGAGTGAGTGAGCGAGGGAGTGTGGCGGGCGTTGCCGGCGCGGAGCCGCCTAGCTGGCCGGCGTCGCGGCGGGGCCCAGGGGGCCCCTTTCTGTGCGCGGCCGAGGCCGGGCGGTTTGGGGGGCGGCGTGTTGGGCGGTTTTCCTCGGCCAAGCAGCCTGAGGAGGGCCCTGTCAGTGCGGGGGGCCGCAGCTGGGGCGTGCGGGGGGCGCCGGCCCGGGTCTCCTTCGCCGCCACCGCGCCGCAGCGAGGTGGCCGCGCCAGGCGCCCTCCCGGCTGCAGCTCCGATGTTGGGATCCTTTAAGGTCATTGGAGAGCGCCGAGATAAACGAGTTTTTATAAAACCATAATACAAACCCAACTTCTGGAGTTCATTGTTGTAATTGCTCTCCTCGTCCGTGAGTCACTCCCCGTCGTCAGTCCGCGACCCCAGGTTTGCAGCACCTTTGTAAGGTGTTTGGCGCGGTCGCGGGGTGCGCTTGGCAGTGTTTGACTCAGCGTGATTGGCCTTTGACTCATTTTGCCGCGGCCATTTACTCCTGCCCGAGCCCGACCACGCCCAGGCAGTGTTCGTATTTTGCCTAATTCAGTTTTCTCTCAGAGGGCTCATTTAATTTTGCGGAGATATGTGGGATTTAGGGAGAGAACAAGGCTGCAGTCCAAGAGGTTCAAGAAGTACTGTCCCCGGGATGGGAAGAGGTTTAGTGTCAGTAGAATGGGAAAGAGCTACAGTTAGTGTTATTGTGTGTCATCTTTTTCCTGCTTCATACTTCTAGAACAGTCTTTTTCTCTTGATTAACCTCTTCAACTCTGCTTCTGAAGGGCTCCTAACTTGTCCTTGTTTCGGGAGACTTACCTTTTTGGAGAAAACTGGAAGGAGCCAATTTGCAGTGCTTGCTTTTCCTGTGTGTTTTCCCCTGCTCATTCCCAGGACACTTAAAACTCTGCTGCATGTGTGAAAATTCAATCTGTAATTAAAAAAAAAAAAAAAAAGTGCACGGTACACTGCTGATCATGGGCATGTCTATTTTTTGTATTTGTAATGTGTACGTCCATTTCAGTGTTGTCTGTTTTAGTATGCAGGTGATAGACTAGAGAACAAGACTTCTGTCTCCGTAGCATCTTGGGTATGTGAGCATTCTATAAGTATTATCATAATAATGAGTTTTGTTTTAAAGTTAATGTTTGCTTTTAAAAGAATTCTGTGATTATATATTACTTTAAGGGATGGGGAATAGGATGATTTTCAAGAGAATACTTTGAAAATAACCTTGTTTGTGGAGTCTAACTTTCCTTCTTTCTTCAACTTTAAACAGAGCAGTCTGAATGCCAGAATGGATAACCGTTTTGCGACAGCATTTGTAATTGCTTGTGTGCTTAGCCTCATTTCCACCATCTACATGGCAGCCTCCATTGGCACAGACTTCTGGTATGAATATCGAAGTCCAGTTCAAGAAAACTCAAGTGATTTGAATAAAAACACCTGGGAAAAGTTCAATACCGTTGAGACAGATGAAGCTACTTATAATGATACACTATTCCGATATAATGGCACTCTGGGATTGTGGAGACGGTGTATCACCATGCCCAAAAGCACACTTTGGTATACATCATTAGAAAGGACAGGTATTCCTCTTATTTCAGATTCTCTCTTTTCAATGATAAACAAAATGCCCTGATGATTATCCAGCTATGTATAAGCAGGTTTGTGAATTCTCTTTGTCCCTGAGAAATAAATCTTAGGTATCTTTTGCTCCTTCTTTCCCCAACTTCTGGACATTACCACAGTATTAATTAATATATTTTTTTTTTAAATTTTTTTTTTTTTTTTATTTATTTGAGAGAGAGAGAGAGAGAGAGAGAGAGAGAGTGTGGTGTGTGTGTGTGGCCAGCTCAGCCCACCAGGGGGCGGGGCTGGCTGGCATGTGGTGCTGGGGGATTGAACAGCAGTCCCTGATGCTTTGATAAGCTTGTTCCAAGTAGGTGCTTTAGACCACTGAGCCATCTCTCCAGCCCTTAATTAATATTGATTGGTTAAGTAACTTAGAAAAGCCATTTTATGTCTCAGTAATGACATATTCTTTTATTAAAATGCCTTTTAGTCTCATGTCATGAGGAAATAGTTGCTAAAGTATTTGGGAAGACTATTAATTGGTAAAAGGACTAATACCAGCAAATACAAACTCACTGTCCTTTTTATCAGTGTTGTAGTAAATATGTATTTTTTGTATTTTATGAAAGAGTCTACAGGATGTTCAGGGTCTCACTACTAGATCAGACTCAGTGATTTTCCTGTTTACAACCTCCCAAGAGCTGGGATTACAGGCACGCACCACCTCACCTAGTCTCAATTGCCATCTCAGCATGCCCTCAGGGTGGGGCCGATATGGCAGGCCAAGGATCGAAGGTTCTTCCCTGTGCCTGCATGTAGGTGCTTTAATCTGCTGAGCTATTTGGCCAGCCTATAGTAAATATTTCACTTGCCCTTCTATCTTAGTGTTTAAATAACTGCATTTAAATCTATATACAAAATGTGATTGAAATATGTTTAAATTAAAAAAAATGTTTTTGATACTTTCTGAAGTAGTTATGAAAGTCCTCTTTCATGAATGTCTTTCGTTGCACCATGATTGCCTCACAGTTCTGAATCTATTCAACGCATTTATTCCTCATGGTCATTTTGACTTTGAGAAAGAACCAGAAGTCTCAGGGTACCATATCTGGTGAATAAGGTAGATGAGAACACATAAGAATGTTTTTCAAGCCTGCCTTTCTGTTGGATGGCACGTGGCAGCAGTGTTTAATGTGTTTGATTGAATCTCTTAAAGATACTTAGGATAGAGGACTTCCTTTGTCTTCAGAAACTCTTGGAGAAAGTGGCAAAAGCAATGGGATAAGTGTGCCCATAGTGAGGGATGTTTTGAGGGGGATTAATGGCAATATATATTTTATTGTAACAATTTCTTCTTAGATATTTGCTGTGTATTGTGATTATCTCTTGCATCTGAAACCGTTTCACAGCAGTTTTGATTGAGTCACCTGTAGGTTAAAATTTTGTAGTACAGAAGAAAAGTCTTAGTTGTTCCTCAGATTTATTTTGCAAGAGTTTTTAATACTTACAAAGATTTTAATTAGCAGTTATTCATTTGAAAGTCTTAGCACCCATTGTAAGTGACAAAGTCAGTTTACTTTTATTTATGGTTATTTCTGTTGGCATCTTGGTGGGTAATCATTGTATTCAAATATTAGGAGTTTGAGTTACCATACATCAAAAGAATGGTAGTATGTCATTATATATTGGAAAAGGAAGTATGTAAGGAAAGGAGAGAAAATTAGTTAAAATTCATTGTAAAATACTCCATTCTTATTATGAGGGCATAAGAGCTGTAGATGAGAATTTACCAGTTATTTAATCATTCTCTCAACAATTATTGCATGCTTTACTCCTAAAAGCCTCATAATTTAGAAAACAAATTTTTATTTTTGAGATAGCATTCTAAAAAGTGGTGACAAGAAATAAAACTATATAAACAGAATAACCACATAGTATGTTAAAAGATGATGTATGCTATTGAAAATTAGAGCAAAAATAAAGAGGATTTACAAATACAGGAGCAGGAAATAGTGGTGGGAATAGGTTAGCCTCTTTAGTAACATAGTCAGGAAAAGCTTCATTGAGGAGATTGTATTTGAGTACAGATTTGATGTGGATAGATTATATGAAGGGCTTGACCATGTGGCCAATTATGTAGATTAGATGAAACAGCTACTGTGGAGGCCCTTTGGTAGGAGCATACCTGAAATGTTCAAGGATCAGTAAAGTAGCTAATAGGTTGGACTAGAGGGTGAGGTGAGAGAGTACTGTATATTGTCAGATGTGCAGGACTGTAGGCATCGTGAGGACTCTGGTACTTACTGTGACTACAATGGAGAGCCATCTAGGTAGGGGTGGGTGTTTGAGTAGTAGAGAGACATTTTATGGTCACACTGGATGTGGTAAGAATAGATAGGGAGGAGACAAGGATAGGAGGTAGGAAATTGGTTGGGAGGTCATTGCAGTGATTCAAAAGTGAGAGATGATTATAAATCCGATCAGTGTAGTAGCACTAAGCAGCAGCTAGATCCTAAATATCTGATGGAAGAACAATGAAGATTTCTTGTTGGAATCTACCTGAGCAGGAATAGCTCTCAAGTTTCTATTTTGAGGAGTTGGAAGAATAGAACTGCCTTTGAATATAATGTAGGACCACAGCTGGTAGAACATGTTTTGGGGAGAAGATCAAATTTTTATTTATTTCAATCTTCATCCTCTTTTTCTCAGTGTCCTTATATATCTGTTTTGGCACCTATTTTGTTGCTCCTACTTTTTTTCCCTTCATAGTGCCCATTTCTTCAACTTTCCCTGAGAAGCAGTGGTGTGCATTGAGCATCAGAGAGAGCTGTATATCAGTCAGGGCCAAGGAGATTGCTTATTTCCCTTGAACACCTTTCTCCATTCTTTTTCCTTTTGGAGGATAGTTGCTGAAAGAGAGTATTGTGATATGTTTATAATGAGAATGATAAGTAATCATTGTTCTTGTTCTAGAGTCATTTGATGTTGTCACAAAATGTATGAGTTTCACGCTAAATGAGCAGTTCATGGAGAAATTTGTTGTTCCTGGAGACCCTGAGAGTGGAATTGATCTACTTCGGACTTGTGAGTACTTTGATCTCTATAGGACAACTGGGGAGAAAGGGAAGTCATTTTACTTGTGAATGGTTGTATTATAATTTTTGAACATAATTATCATAGTAGATCATGTAAAATTTGTTCTCTATATATATGCCAGTGATTGATAATATATTTTAGGAAGTACAAATGTACTTTTACCAGATTTCAGATAGCTTTACATTGAGGGAGGCAGTTAATACATTGCCTGATGGAATCCAGACCTCCAAAGGAAGTTGTTGATGGGCCTAATTATCAATAATAAATTCTTGTACTTAAGTTAAATACTTCCATTGGTGAGGTTCAGATAGGATATGAGAAAAAAATTGCGGGCTCTTACTGGTTACTGAGTATTAGTATCTCCATTTCCTTCTTTGTGCTTGTATCTTCATCCAAACTTAAATGGTAGTCACAGAAATGAAGTGGAGGTGTCAAAGAAAAAGGATTAAGGACACTTTTTCCTTGATAGTAAGGCTACCCATAAATTACTGTCTTCAGATTTGAACCTCAGTTTTTAGGACCATAGAGACTGACTGGAGCTTGCTTGGAAAAATAACCATATTATAAACAAACACTCCAATGAAAATGAATAGAAAAAAATTATTACAGAGTTTGAAAGGAACTGAGATAAAAGACTTTTTAAAAAATTGAAGCTTATTGGTACAGAAGTTACAAAAAGCAATGCCATCATCAAAAGGTAGAAATTGCTCACAGTTGATACTAACATATTACTAATCATTAAAATGATCTGAAAATGTAGTGAAATGCTGTGAGGCCATCAACTTTCTTTTCATGTTGGTAAGAATTTTTGATAAGTAGAGCTTCTGTTGAGTATCTGGTTAAATTTCAAATTCACTACATTGTGTGATTTATGTATATTCTTTCAGCAGCCCTGTAAGACAGATCATTTGTAGTCACTCATTTAATTCTCTTTAGATTCTGAAATTCCAAGGTCTTATTTGTATGTTGTGGTAAACTATTTGTTGCCTCAGATCTTGGCTCTCTCACTTACTTTCTTTGTATAAGTTATTCATGTGTCTTGTCTCAGTTTCTTCAATTATAAAATAAGAATATTCAGTAGTAAGAGTTATTGGGAGGATTAATTCACAGAGCATGTATGTGCAAAAAAAGCGGTATATGGCATATTCTAGGACTTTGATAACTGTTTCCTGTTAGTGACTTTTTTTTTCAATAGGAGAAAGCATCCTTTTGAACAATCTCATTTATTAAGGAAGTGTTGATATTAAAATATTTCTCATTTTTTGAAGGAGGTCTAATTACAGTATAAAAGAAATTGCCAGTGTGGAAAATTGTCTGAAATGATGGTAACATGTCTGTCTGCTGTTTCTTTCCCTTTTAAAACCAGATCTTTGGCGTTGCCAGGTCCTTTTACCTTTTGTGAGTCTAGGTTTGATGTGCTTTGGGGCTTTGATTGGACTCTGTGCTTGTATCTGCCGAAGCTTATATCCCACCATTGCCACGGGTGTCCTCCATTTCCTTGCTGGTGAGTGTTGTATCATACTTAGTTTTTAACTTCTTCCTGTCTCTTCAGGGACCTCCGAGGTTTTCACAAAGATTCACATATTACTGCAGTGTTATGTTGCCTGAAAAGCTCTCCATTGTGCTTTTACTGAGTCACATTTTGTTTTATTTTCTAAATTTCCCTTCAAGGTCTGTGTACACTGGGCTCAGTAGGTTGTTATGTTGCTGGAATCGAACTACTTCACCAGAAACTAAAGCTGCCTGAGAATGTATCCGGTGAATTTGGATGGTCCTTCTGCCTAGCTTGCGTCTCAGCTCCCTTACAATTCATGGCTTCTGCTCTCTTTATCTGGGCTGCGCACACCAACCGGAAGGAATACACCTTAATGAAGGCATATCGTGTGGCATGAATGGGAAGCTTCCTGGTTTACCATTGCTATTTTTAATATCTTTTGATATTCATACTTCCCTTTGCCTCCCCATTGTTTTTAATTTTTATTTTTTGTGGATATATCATTTTAATGTTGAATATTCATTTTATTTATACATCCAACTAAATGCGCACTTAGTAATGCTAAAATTTATGTGGTTTACTCTGAATGACAACATCTTTCAGATGTACCAGTCAGGGTCAATGTCTAGACAGAAAGAAATGGATAGAAAGTTAACACAAATTTGTGAAAGAAAATTGAAAGTGAGAAATTAATTCAGAACAGGTTCTGCTAGTCCTGTTTTAGACTCTAGTAACGAAGTTACTCCATCTGTTGAACTAGAAACTTTTAAGTTTTTTGGGAAACCTCTTATGAATGTTAAAACATGCTTACTTTTCTTTTATAGCCAGTCAGCCAATGGTATTAGTGCTTTTATCAAAGGCTTAAAGCTCCATAAAACTGGGGAATTATCTGTGACCTTTTTTCCTAAACTTTGGCACATACCTTCGTCTGAGGTGAAATATGGCAGCTGTTTATACCTACATTTGTTTCGCTACAAGAAAAGAAGTGAAAAGATGCAGTGTTCACTTGGAATTTTAATTTTATAACTTCAAAGTTACATTTTAGATAGGTGAGTTATTATTATTTTTGTTTTCAAAATGTTACTAGGATTTTCAGTACCACCAAACCATTTGAAGTTTTGCTCATTCTTACATACCAGGTTTGTTAAAAGTGTTTTCTTTTTAACATTATTTCAGGGTTGCAAAGTAAAATTTCTCAACAATTTTCTGTTTATTCCAATTAAGTATCACAAAGTTCTACCATAATGACCCTCCAGAGCTGGGAATACTACCACAAGATCTAAAGCTGTGGCTGTCCATTACCTCCAACTATGGTCTTTATTTCTTGTGGTGAAATGATGTGCCTTTCCTTGCCTAAGTCCCTTTCCTGGTGTATCAACATTGTATAATGTCTTCAAATTCAATCTTTTTTTATAAATGTCTATAAACATTGAAGTTTTAAAGATCTTATTTATTTATTCCATACTGTACCATTTGACAGATTAAAAAAAAGTAACAGTAATTTCTTACCATATCCTAAATCTGTCTTTTTTACAAAATAAAAATGAGAAGAGATTCAAAGATTTGTGTACAGTGTCTGAATTGATTGAAATGTCAATGGATTAAAATAATGGGGATTTTTGTGGTTCTGTATGGAAAATGCATTTTCTACTCTGCAATCACATCTTTGTGTCCTGTGTTTGGATTTACTTTGTCTTCCAGGAATTGTGGCAGCCTTTTACCACAACTAGAAAATAGAATTCTTTTTTTTTTATGTTTCAGAATTTTAAAGCAGGTTTTCAAACTGATTTTGTCATCTCTATATTTGATATGACCAGTTTCCTATAAAGTCATTTGATGGTCCTGGATATCTGTTTTATAGTATAAATCAATCAATCAATCAATCAATCAATCAATCAGTCAATCAACTTCTGACTTGTAACAGCCAGCTTTACTCTGTACCCACTTACCTGTGAAATGGCTAATTACTTAGATGCCTATCCTTCTGCCCTTAACTTTTTAAAGCAATGCTGGGGATTAAACATACAGAGTGCTGAAGTACATGCTCCACCCTTTTAAAAGTATTTGATTTTGCGATAGGGTTCTGCTAATTTATGTTGGCTGGCCTCAAATTTGCCACCTCCCTCAGCTTCTTCCAGTAGCTGGAATTCAAGATGTGCACCATTGGGCCCGGCAGATTTCTACCTCTTAACTTTTGAAGTTGACTGACAGCAGCTGTGAAAGTCAATAGGAAAAAAAGCTAAGTGAACAAACAGAGCCTTTAGGAGTGAGATTTACAAATTATTGGCAGTATCACCTTTTTTCAGTAGGTTATTTTAAACAGTATTCTTGCCTTTTACTCCCAGGGTGTCTATGTAAATATCTGTAAACCAGACCTCGATGTAAACTGGAAGGCAGAATTGGACTTCTCGGTTATCTAGTCTTACTAGTAGTATCTTTAAACTTAGAAAGCTAGCACTACACTCCTTATTGTCAAATAAGTGTTGAAATTAGTGTTTTTAGCCCAATGCAGAGTCTCTGAGGTCACCCCCTGTTGCAAAGATTTGTCTGCAATAATAATAGGGCCATTTGTTTAATGTAAAAACAATTTTATAGGCTAAACCATATGAAATTGCTGTAGACTGTCATTTTAATTTCTGCTGATCTAAAGTCAGTGGAAATGTAAATCATCTTAAGCTCTACTAAATCTTTGAAACCAATCCCTAGAGTTAAAAGAATTAGTTCCAGACTTTTTAAGGATATAAGTTATGATAACTGAAACATTTGTTTTAAGACCTTGATTTAGCAAATGAGCCAGAGTACAAGGATAGCCATTGACATACCCAAAGTGGGAATAATAAAAGGGCAGAATAATTTTAGAATTTATTTGGATAACCAAGTGTGCCTACTATGTGTATCAGTGCTCCAAAGTAATGTGTTAAAAAACAAAACAGCCAAGTATTAGTGTGCATATTAGGGAGGATAGGGTTAATAACTCAGATGAATTCATTTAGTATCATGATGGAAAAGAGATGATAATGCAACAAACCTATTTCAGAGTTGTTTTTTCATTCCAGGAAGAAATATCACCAAATTGCAAACTTAAAACTTGATCCTGTTGGCTGGAAGATGTATAGTTGAGGGCATTTTAACTAATTGTCATGGAAGCCATCATCTAAAATAAAAATGTTGAATTAACTGTTATCTAATTCAACACTTAAATATTTCAGCTAATGTGTGCAATTTTCATTAGTTCACAGGCTAGATGTGACTATCCTGGCATACAGGAATGGAATCTTTCTGCCCTCATCTCACAGAATAGTAGCTCATATTTTGAAGACAGCAATAAAATAAGGGAACACATCTATGTGTATGGATTCCTTTCCTGTCCATCAGATGTTCTGGTACTTATTTTATGAGATGTGTTTTTTCTTAGGGTCAAATTACAGATAAATGCCAGTGTCCTGTGAATAAGTTTTGTCACAATCCTAGTTTACAAGTAATGAAAGTGATTTTTTTATAGAAGTTACTGCTATCATCAAAATTAGTACATTCCTTGATATATATGTATGCACTTTGAGAAAACTTAGGTAAAGTGTGATATAATTTATCTTTGAAGAGGTTTAGAAATATACAGTAAGAGAATTTCCCATCTGTTTATCTTCATCTTTTAAAATACCTGTGTCACTGAGTCATACATTCATCACCTTTAACCTGATATCTTGGTGTGTCTCAGGGTGTGAACTTTACTTACCATGCTGCAATGTTTCAGCCCCTCCCAGGCTATCAGCCTTTTGTTGTCCTACTAAGCTTATCTCACCATTAAATGTACAGAGACATTTTTGTTTTTCTTGTTCCTATATCTTCCATAGTGCATTCTCTCACAATTCTTTTCCTTATTTTCATAAATGATGCTGCCTAGTTCTCTATTCCCAATCCTAAAATACCAACGATGTGATTTCAAAACTAAAAGCTGGTCCTATAAAAAATTGATATTTGCTGTTAATTGTTTCATGTATCTAATTTTTGATGATTTCTTACTGTACCATACTTTCTAAATCTCTATAAAAAATTCCAAGAAACTTACTCTTCCTCCTTAACTTCCTTTTTCCGGAACCAGGGATTGAACTCAGGCCCTTGCACTTGCCAGGCAAGCGCTTATTCTACTGAGCCATATCCCCGGCCCAAATATGTTTGTTTGTTTGTTTGTTTGTTTGTTTTTGCGGCACCGGGGATTGAGTTCAGGTCCTTGCGCTTGCTAGGCAAGCACTTGTTCTACTGAGCTATCTCCACATCCCTTCCAGGAATACTGCAATGGACTCTTGTATTGTCTACAACCCTTATGTACTCCTTGCTGTAAGGAGCATGAATTGTTTGACTGGAGTGACTGCTGGTATCAGCAACTACTGGAGCAGCATGGTGGATGGTAGTTAAATGAGACAATGGTAAATTCTAATCCTAGGTCTGTTTCAGCCTTTCCAAGGCCCTCCTTTCACCTGTAAGATGTGATTAGCATACCTGTCTCATGAAATTTTAATAAAGATTATATAAATTTCTCAGCATAAAGTGACCCCTCAAAACACATTGTAAGGGGATGCTTTAGTAAACCTGTATGGTGGTTCTCAGCCTAGGTTATACGTTGGAATTTTTTGGACATCTTCAAAAATTATATCTAGAACAATAGCTGGGTCAAATTGGACCTCTAATCCTAGGTTTTTTTTTTTTTTTTTTTTTTTTTTTTAAATAACACTTTTAAGACAGTGGTTGCACCAGTCTACACTTGCACCAACAATAGTGAAAGGTTCATTTTCCTGCATAGCACCTCCAGCATTTCTTGTTGGTTGATTTCTTTGTAATAGGTATTCTTTCTGGAGTAAGATGGAGTCTCAATGTTGTTTTAATTTGTGTCTCTTGAATGACCAATGATATTGAACACTTTTTCATGTATTTATTTTCCATTTGTATTTCTTCATCTAAGAAGTGTGTATTCATCTCAGATGCCTATTTGGGATTGGGTCTCTAAATTTGTGAGATCTAATTTTTGAGTTTTTTAGGTTTTTTTTATATGTTCTCCATAGTAATCCTTTGACTGAGGAACAGACAAAGCAAATGGCAAATATTTTTCCCAGATTGTAGGTTGTCTCTTGATTATGTTGATGGTTTCTCTTGCTGTGCAAAAGCTTAATAAGATGAGATCCTAGTTGTTGATTCTTTTTGATAGGTCCTGTGTAATTGGGGTTTTAGTCATAAAATCTTCGCCTACATCCGTGTCTTCAAGTGTTTTACCTGTTCTGTTTTCCAGCAAATATAATGTTTCTCTTTTAATATGTAGATCTTTATTTCAAATTTAGTTTAGTGCATGGTGAAAGATCTGAGTCCAATTTTTATCTTTCACATGTGCAAAGGTAGTTTTTCCAACATTATTTATTAAAGATGCTATCCTTCCAGTGAATATGTTTGGCACCTTTTTTAAAGATAAGGTAACTGAGAATGTCGAGTTGTTTCTGCAACTTCTAATCTGTTCCTTTGATCCTCGGGTCTATTTTTTGCCAGTAGCTTTATAGTCTACTTTCAAGTCAGGGATAACTGTGATGCCCCCTACCTTGCCTTTGTTCCCTAGAATTACCTTTGCTATTCTAGGTCTTTCCTAGTTTTATTTATTTATTTTAGGGAAGGGTCTAAGGGTGTTTAGGGTCTCACTATTAGATTGGACTCATTGTGATCCTCCTGTTTACAGCCTCCCAAGAGCTGGGATTATAGGCACACATCACCATGCCCAGTTTCAATTGCCATTTCAGCACACCCCGTGGGTAGGGCCAGCATGGCAGGCCCAGGGATCAAACCCCTGGCTCCTGCACCAGCTTGCAGGTGCTTTAATTTATTGAGCTTTTTGGCTGGCCCTCTCCTAGTTTTAAATGAATTTTAGGATTGCTTTCTTTAATTTTATGACATATGCTGTTGGAATTTTGATCATAATTACATTAAATCTATGTAACAGTTTTGAAAGGAGAAAGTAGCCTTTGCTTGACCTTGTATGGTCAGGTCCTGGGCTGGCAGAACTCTGAATTCTTGTGGCTGTACTCCAGTGAGAATGACAGCTAACAGTGGTGCGGAAATAGTCTTTTCCAGTTAAGGTTCACTGTGAAATATAGAGCTGGATGCCTGGGAAGGCTCTAGT